TTACGTGTTGTTTATTATATGTGATTCTTTGGAGCTCTCTGTTTGGACTTTTCTACTTCCACTCTTCATTGGAATGGATTTTGAGTTTCATGTTAGAGCTACTACCACTACTGTTCCTCCTACAGTTAACCTTACTAAAAGAAAAATTGGCTACTCTGGCTTTGGGTCCACAATTGTTGACAGGAGATGTTACAGCCTTGGTTTGTTGGGAGTTAGCTACCTTCCTGCAGTCTCCAGGTTTACCTGCAGATTCTCCTCTCATGCCTTGTTCATGGGTACCTGAACATGAGGATGTGGATCTTGACAGTATGTTTCATACCCCTTCTTGTGCCACACAGTCATGCTTAGCTCCAGTGGCAGTGCCCAGGTCTCCTCCTCCTTTCCTGAAGTTAATAAACCAGGTATGTTATGTTTTGTCATTGTCTTCCCCTTTCCTTTTAACTGAAAAACCTTTGGGTCAATGTCTTGTTCTCCCACACCTCACCAGATATTCAGGTTTGCCATTAGGTTTGAGGACCAATTAACGTTCTGGGGTCAGTATGCCTTGACCCCCATGTCATATGGAATACCATGCTGTGGCTTACCATAAGTTTGCTTTATCTTTTTTAGACTTCCCACTATTGGGGATCTGATCCCTCTACTTCGGTGACGTTTTTCCCAACCTCAGTTTTCCCGTATCCACTCTCTTTTGTTCCCTTTCCTTGATTATCCTTCTGTCAGAGGCTCTTCCTTATTCCCCTGAGGGGTTTTTGGTGACTCTTACCCTGTTTTATTTCTACAGTTGCATGATTGTCCTCTCCTGCCTTTTCCCTTCCCATTTGGCTCCTCTGTTGTTGGGATCTCTTGGGTTAGGATGCCCTTTTATCCTGTGACCATTTACCCCAACCTCCTTATGGAACTTCCACATGATTCCCTTTTTAAGGCAATATTGCTTTGGGGGTCTTCTTGACTTGTTGGAGACCAGAGTCAAATCTGCACATTTGCACACCTCCCTTTCTTCATTGGCTTCCCCTTTTTATCTACCTCATCCATCTGTTCCCATGTCTAGTCTCTCTCCTTCCTCTCACTTATTTCCATGCTCCACATATCTTTGAGGCTCACTGTTGGTTCATTCATGGTGGCTTCAGCACCCATGGTGACTACGTGGTGGGTACAGGTCTGGTGGGGGCCAGGCTTTTGTGCTTTGTCACTGTTTGGGAGTCCTTCACCACAGCCTCTTGGGTTTTTCAGGTTCTTTCCAAAGAGCTTGTTCTTCATTCCAGTTCCACTACACCCCTGACCCATCATCCCATATCCTTCCCAACTCTTCATGATTCCATTTCCAGCCAGCATCTTGCCAAAGCAGTTTTGGATCTTTTTCATCTGGGCACTTTAGAACAGGAAGATTCTTCTCAGCCAGGTTTCTATTCTCATTTGTTTGTAGTTCCCAGGAAGCCATATCATCAATCACTCTTCTTTGAACTGCTTTCTCGACCTATCTCAATTCACCATGGAGTATAACCTATCTTCAATGGGTTTTCTGTTCTGGTAGTGTATGAGAAAGTTAGATGTCTTGGATGCTTACCTCCACATTACCATCTTTTTTTTCTGTCGATCAGGGTTGCATCTACCAAGTTAGATTCACTGTTCATCAGTTCCCCATGTTTTTGTCAGTTGTCAAGGCCTTTGCCTGTCTTCTCCATTCCAGGAACTTTCATTTCCACTGTTCTATGGATGACTGGCTGCTTCTAGCTCCTTTGCATACCATCTCTTCAAGAGGCTAGATGGGTAAGTTGGCTAGTCAATGTGGAGTAATTTTTCCTTTCCCCTACTCAATACCTTATTCATCTCGGGGTGTTTTTCAATTCCTGTGTCAGCTGGGCCCACCCTTCTTTCCTTCTCTTGTGATCTATAGAGCTTTTGGATCAGGCTGTTTCCTCCTCCTCTTTTCCAACTGCATAAGAAGTTCTGTTTCTTTTGGGGAGGTGGGTTTCTTTGAAGGCCCTAATTCCGATCAGTTTGGCCCACATGTGATGTCTTCAGTAGGCTTTACTCATTCAATGTAACCTCGTTCAGGATCCCTTGGATGCCCCTATCTATCTTCTTCATTCCCTTCATGTAGAATTCGCTTGGTGGTTGGACAGAAACAACACAACATTGGGTGTTCCACTTTCTTCTCATCTGGGAGTGCACCTCTTCATGGATACTTCTCTTTTGAGTTTGAGTGCATATCTGGACACCTAGGAGCTGTTGAGCCATTGGTCTATCAATGAGTCATCTCTGATATCAATCTCTTGGAATTGCTTGCTGTCTGATGGACTTTGGTTCACTTCCTTCTGTCTCCCCAGAACTGGTCAGTTGTGTTCCATTCCAACAACTCAATGATTGTCTTGACTTTTACTCAGCAAGGGGGCACTCGGTCAAGGTGTCTTTGTTTCCACATGTTGGATCTCCTGTTTTGGTCCCCAACTTCACATCCTTTGGCTGTAGCTGTTGATGCCTTCAGTCAGGATTGGTTGGTCCTTTCTTTCTACACCTTTTTCTCCTATTCATCTTCTTTCTCATGTCCTCTCCATCATCCATGCCACTCTGTTTCGCATCCTCTTGGTGGCATCACTTTGATAAGTGCAACCATGGTTTCTACTTCTATGCTCTCTTTATTGACACTTCCTCTTATCCTTTCATCCACCTTCCTGAGACATCTTCACTTGAGCGTGCTACATCCTTCTGTTCCAACACATCATTTTCATGCATGGCTTTTGTCCAGTCTCTTGCCAAGTTGGACAGACTTTCCCCTGTGGGTTGCTTCCATGATTTCCCATTCCTTTTACCCTTCCTCCATGTCAGTTTACCAGTGTCAGTGGTGTGTTTACTGCCATTGGTATTCTTGTCATAGTTTTCCTCAATCCTATCCTACTCTCCCACATTTGACTTCCTTCCTTACCTGGCTTTTCAACAAGGGGCTTTCAATATCCACCTTCACTTCCATTTCCCTCCCATTTTTCTCCTTTATCATCTTTCCAGTCTGGATAGCCTCTTATGTCCTGTCCAGGCTCTACCCTAATACGTAGGATACACTGCTCCATTCCATGGTTCCTGTTTCCATTTGTTCATTAATTGAAACCCTTCCCTTTCCTGTGATATGCCCTATTACCATTATGGGTTGGATTCACCAGCTTTTTATTCCCTGATTGTCCTATATTCCAAATCTCCTTCAATGAAATCCACCACAAAGCCTGGCTGTTTGATTCCATTAGAAGATATAGCTAGTGCCATGATGTGGACAACTCGCCATAAATTTATTTCACATTATCTTCATTGTCTGGCCATTTCCAGCTCTACAGGTTACTGTCTACCTTCCATCACCATCTTGAGCTCCATAGTTCATATATGATTGGGTAGGTGTGCTTTTTCTACTTCTATACAGGGGCAGTTCTCACATATATATGGATCCTGCTCAGTGGAGAGCGTTGTCTGACCAGGTATACTTATTCTTAAACTCGCACTGTCCAATCATTCTGGTCAGTAGTACCCACTGATGATATGGGGTGTTCTGCAAGACCACTTGTAGGTTTATCCTTGCACTGTTTTTCATCATAAGTATGTTTGCCCCCAGCTGTACACTCATAGCACAACACGAATAAAGCAGAAGGGGATTGCTACCCATCCCTGTCACTCCTTCTTTTGACTGAGTCAGGAATGGTTTCCTTTTCAGAATAGGTTTTTGTGATCTCCTGTTGCATTGTCTCCAGTGCTATGTTCCACTGAACTCTGCAATGCATTTTTCTCCCCTTTTTTCAGTAGTGTACAGGAGTTCTTACCACTTACCTCATAGCCACTGGGTTGGTGGACCGTAGAGGTTTCCTCATGAGTGTGCTCAATTCCACTCAGTTGAGAGTAGGGCATGGTGTTCTGCTGGTGTAGATTGAGTGTAGACATTCCTTCTACTGCAGACCTGATGTCTATATTAGTACCTGGAGATACTGGTGTTGGTGAGTGACCCATATACTCTCCTCCTACCATGGACTTGACAATTCATTGCCAATTCTGTGTGGTTCTGGACAACCAGATGTCAGTGATTGTGGGGTACTGGTGTTGGTTGTTTTGGACATTTACACATGATGATATGCGTCCTTGGAACAGAAGATCTTTTATTCCAGTTCCCATGCCCACAGTGCCCTAGCCACTGCACACCAGGGGTCTCCATTATTTTTTAGCCCCCTCTATCATTCTTCCCTTATTGTAACACATCATTTTCATGGGCAAAGAAGTGGTGTGGTCTCCCATATGTCTTATGTATTCTTTCTTCACACATCCCTTGGGCATTTTATGAAGGAAGCTCATCTAGGTACTATTATACCGTGGGATTCTAGCTATTCTGCGAGAAGACGTAAGATATTGTATCAGAAGTTAGCATCTCCCTACACTGAAAATGCATTTCCAATAGATCCTTACCTCTTCCCATTTTTCCTCCCCACTTCTGATGTCTTTTTCTTTTCTGTTGCTCAATCTTGAAGTGAAGTTGGGCTAAGCTGCATAGAGGGAGATCACTGTGCTAGGAGTTGTCGTGTTCTTATTGGTGGAGGGTTGTCACATTCTAATTTGCATGCTATCACACAGATGCCTCTTGTGAAAACATGAGGGTAGGTGGGAGTGTCAAAGCTAGTGGTGAGTAAAAAGTTGTGCATATAGAGAGCTATACAAGTTGGAAAAAACTATTCTGTGAGAGAAGGTAAGAATCTATAAGAAATACATTTTCAGTGTAGGAAAATGTTAACACCCAAGTTTTAATATCTTGTACAATCACACTAGAAGTATGATGTGATTGCTGCATTTAACATACACATACATTCACATGTATATAAACACACATTTATATATGTATTGTGTAATCTTTATATTTTAGTCTGTAAATCTGTTATAGAAGTATGTGACCATGTAATCTATTTCAGAAAGTCCACTATTATCAAAATATAATACATTTGTAATTCATGTGTAAAAACCTGTTTCTTTTACTATAGATTCCACCATCCATGAACTGTTCTATACAAGTAGGCAAATATATTTTATTCATGAGAGATGATATACTTTCCACGCCAGATTGGATCTCATCTTCTGCTCTGCTTTGTCACATTCAACATCTTGTTGGCCATGTTCAACATGTTCACCTTTAGAGTTAGTTTTCAGCCAAGTCAGCCATGTTCAGCTGTGTACATGTTTCCTTCCACACCTGTAGTCACATATACCACTACTAACTTCACTCAATATGTCACCAGTGGGTCTTCATCTTCCTTTAACCATTCACTTCCTCTGTTGAAAAATTCATCCACTGTAGCAAAAGATCAGCTAAAAATGGAAGTCAGGGGCAATTATGTAGTAATCAACAACTATCTTAGTGCTGAATTGTCTCCAGGAGTTAATGAAAGTGTGACTTTAACCACTCAGGCAACACTCTCTTTTCTTCACCATGCTGAACCATTATGTAAACACTGGGATGGGCCCATTTCACTTGCTGTGTATGCTCCCAATTCTGATCTTTTAATTGTTATTGACAGAATCTTGCAAATGCGACAGTGTGGACATCACTGTGTTAAGCATAATATCACTTGGCACCTCATTTATGACACTCGGTTCCCTCCAGAAAATGATTTGAAGAAAATTAGAACTAAAATAATTGATTGTGAAGCACATGACAAAATTCCTAGTTTAAGAACAAGCTTTCGTGAATCCCATTCATTAGTATATCCTATAAATATTGCACGCAATGTGGCTCGCCAGAATTCTGCCACGTACTTCCTGATGGCTTCCGATATTGAGCTTTACCCTTCTTTGAATATTGTCTCAAGATTTTTGAACATGATAGCTAAAATGGGCAAAGATGCCTATAACAAAACAGTTTATGTTTTACCAATATTTGAGGTATCAAAAACTGTAAAACCTCCTACAACTAAAACTGAATTACTGAATCTTATTAATAAAAAAAAAGCTGTTTTCTTTCATAAGTTTATCTGTGACTTATGTCAGCGTTTCCCTGGTAGAGACCAGTGGCTGAAACATGTTCCAGTTAATAATACACTAAACATATTTACAACTACCAAACGACAACATCCTCTAACATCATGGGAGCCCATTTACATTGGAACTAACAGGGAACCATCTTATGATGAGCGCTTAACTTGGGAAGGAAAGCAGGACAAGATGAGTCAGGTGAGGTGTGCAATATAAAAAAGCATTAATTCTTGCTGATTTTGATCTACTTTCAAACTTTTGCAAGTGAACTTAATTTGTGAAATTTAGTGAATGTTTTGTATTAAAGATATTGTATATGTGATATCAATTTTTTTTTTTTTCATCTACAGTCTTAAAATTAATGATACTTAGTACCGACTATTACATCAGTACACCTGTTAAAGGTTTCAGTACCCAAATAATTTCAATTTTATTCTTCTGTTGTGATTATCACTAATACCCAGATTTTGCATCCTTTCTTAGCAAACATTTCAAATTAAAATAAGAGTTACAACTTATAAAAGTGTTTAACTTTTTTTCTTTTAAAGTGGTGAAATATTTCAAAATTTTTCGTGCCATCTTTTGTTTATTCACTTTATTAGCTTTTATATGTGGTATAGCATACTTTTGTGATAAAGTCTGTTGAGGATTCACAGGTAAGGAAAACAAAAGTCCCAAGTTTAGCTTATTTTAACAAAGCTATTTCTAATTCTTTTATATAAGCCAATCTTGAGATTTAAACTAAAATAATTAATAAATAATGAAGTGATTTAAGTTCTTTATTGCTCTTCTGTATTGATCATAAGCAACAAAAACTTGTGTACATGCAGAAATACATTAATTTTCATGTCACTTTCTGTTAGGGGAGAAAGATAGTTCAATCATGATGTGATACATATCTCAGTACGTTCATACCAACACTAAGTATTAATAGAAAAAATTTGTAATATTTGTAAAAAAAAACAACAGCATAGTCATAGTCTTCAACAGAATAATTTTTGATACTTTTTTTATGTATAAAACTTTTAAGAACAAGTTTGAACATTCAACATTTTAAACACTAAGCAACAGTTTACAATACTACTGATTATTGATAACAGCTGATCTTTGGGCTGTAGCAATTTTCCCAGCTTTTGGATAACATACATTCACTAAGTACCTTTGTCTCAGGAACACCAACATGACAATTAGCAGATTTTCATAATCCATTGATAAAATACTTTAATTGTTGCAGTTGCTTAGTTGTATGGTTGTAGATTACTATTGGTTATAGATATCTGACTTGATCCTTTTTTAAATTAAATTCTATTAGCCTCAGTTCTTGTATCCCACCTGATGATGCCAGGTGAACCTGGTGAAACATTGTGTGTAAAAATAACTAAAAGAGTTACTGTGTACAACCAATAGAAACTTGTGTGAATCCAAATCATGTTATTATCTACAAAATTAAGAAAATTGAAATTTTATATGGTATGGTGATAATTATTAGGAAATCATAAAAATAATTCCAGCAGTTTAACACTTGGTTCTGCTTTGAAAGAGTGAAGCTTCTTTTCTGTCCTCATATGAAAAAATTTTGGGTTTTAAGTTTTCATAACAAACACATCACCAAATAAATCTTCCCTAATAGATTCCTTAGTGTTGTCATTTGTAGTTGTGAGACCATTAGTAGCATTGGAATTAGACTGAGATAATGGTAGGTGAGGAAGAGCAGGCTGATCAGGTTGAGATTTATGTTCTGGTTCTTTCTTGATATCAACTTTGCTTGAAGTTGAAAGGCTGGCAGCTTTCAGCATTACTGCCAGTGAACTTGGTGGTGCTTATCTTCTACTTGTGGTGGTACTTTGAATCTAGGACCTAGAACAACTGCTTAGAGTAAGAAATTCTTAATATCAGTTCTTTCATATCTGTTCTTGATATCTTCTGAGATAGCATTTTTGAAATCTTCTTCTATAAGTGAAGCATATGTGTTCTTTAATTGCATTATCTACAAAATTTGACATTTCTTGTGGTAGGTAAGTGAGATGGTAGGATGCTGTTCATTACACAGTACTTTAGTGATTTTCAGCATTAACTCTAAAACTGCCACCACAATCTCCACGTTAAAACATCTTGGTCTGACAAAGTCACAAGATCTTTTGCATGTTTTCTCATTTCGGGTTCCTTAAGGACAGCTATTACAGCTGTCTGTTGTTCAAAATACATTTTTGACATCATTTATAAGTCAATTTTCATGAATTTGCAGTAGTATTTGTTCTGTTTTGAGAATGTGTGCAGCAGTAGTGCTCTTTCAAATATCAAACAATTTTATGCACCTTGCATAATAATCTAAACATTTGGCTCACTTCAAGTCCTTCCTGAATAGCTAAATTCAGTGTATGGGCAAAGCAACCCATATGTGTTCTTTCATAGCTCCAGTCCTATTATTTACATTATCAGTTACCACAGCTACATATCCATTAAAAAGATCAAAGTTCCCCTTATTTACAGCATTAGTAAGTGTTCGACCAACATTTACTCAAGGAAGGTGTTAAAAGGGATATCAACATGTTTTTTTGCTTTAAACCCAAGTGATTTATTTAATCAGGTCATTAACAACCTGATTGTAAGATGGAAAAGTATCATTGATAAG